TCCCCCCACCCCACCCCAGACCCCTCATAGCCCCCCCTTCTGATAGTCCGGCATATCTGATAATCAGGCACCCCCCGGGTCCTAAAGGTGCCGGATTATCAGAAGTTTACTGTAGATATATTCAGGAAAGCACAATTACAGGCAAGTAATTTTACCCTTTTTCATAAGAATCTGATTGTTGCACCTTCCAGTATACAAAGAAACTATTGTAAACAAGGTTCAATAGAATATTGTGTAGTCAGTGTTTCTTTCCCCATGGCCTTTGATTCCTTAACTTGGTTTTTGTTCTAATATTTCTATCCTTTTTTCACTGAGCTTTCAACTCCCTTCTCTTCCCTCTGAATAGGCCTCATTTTGGATTCACTCTATGCAGTTTATCACTGACTGAAATGTGTACAGTCTCCAGTGATCTTCCCTTCTCATAGCTTGAAGAAAAATGGAAATTTGATACTGTAGTCCATTATGTTTTTGCCTAACTAGACTAGCAGGCTAGTCTGCTTCATGCAGACTTTCTCTCTCCTCCTGAATGTAAAATTTCAAATTGCAAGAAATATCATAGTGAATCTGAGTCTTGAGATCCTGATAGTTGCTCTTGCTAAGAGTGTAAGTGCAGCACAAGTGTACTCTGTTACTGCAGGTTTCTCCTGATTTGAAATATGCACAGGAGGAAGGGAGAGAATTCTTGCTCACTCAGAATTCTCTAATTTGGAGGTGGGGGGCTGGATTCTCCCCCTTTTTTTTTCTTACCTTACCTTGTTAGTGTGGGTGGTGGGTGGTGGGTGGAGGAGGGGAGGGTTCTTAAGAGAATTCAGCAGTGCAGATCCAAGTTTATAAGCCAACAAATTCCTAAGTTTTCATGAGTTTATTCCTTCTGGTCTCTTTCAGGATCCAGCAATGAGCCAGTTACTCAGCCTGGTACTTCTGATTTTCAGTGGGATTTAAGCCGCAGTCAGGCCCATGTTGATGATGAATGGTCTGGGTTAAGTATGTTCCTCTAAATTTCTCTTGATTTAATTTTTTTTCTGCTTTTTCAGCTGCATAGTCTGAACATTTACCTTAACTGGTTTCTGGTTGTATATTATGTTGCTTTGCTTTATATCTGTTTCATTTCTGTAATATAAAATGTCAATTTAAGACCGATACCAGGAAATTTAGTTACAACTAAATTGCATAGTTTTAAGAATTATGTAAATATAAAGTAGTCCTCAAATAGTTTGGGGGGGGAGGTAGCCATGTTATTCTGTAACTTTAAAAAAAGAGTAGTCCTGTAGCATCTTAGAGACTGTACAGGATTACTTGTTTTTATACACTTCCAATAGTTATTTTTAAGCTAAAACACGTGGTTAAGGAAATTTATCTCTTTCAAATACGAAAAGACTCTATCCAGTTCTCTGGTTTTTGCTAGATATAGTCTTGATAGGTAATTGAATCACATAATGATCTGTACTGGCTTAATATGGTGATACAGCTAGCTATAGGATCGATCCAACAGAGTGGGTTCATATTCCAGCATAAGAGAATGTAACAGGGCTCTGAGCTCATTTTACCTGTTATTCATAGCACACTATAAGCTTTGAGTATAGGAAGGCATTTGATTTCAGTCTGTTTTTTGTGAACGATCTTATAGTAAAAGCACACAGTTATCAACTATATAAATGTCCCTCCCAGAGTATCCCTGAAATAACTGGAAAAACTAGTACAATGGTCTCCAACCTTTTAACACTCAAAATCACTTTTTAAATGTCAGGGCAAGCCAAGGTCTATCCCATCCCTTCTCCAAAACTCCACCCCTTCCTTGAGGCCCCATCCTCTCTGTTCCCCTTCTCCTCTCCATCACTTGCTGTCCCCAGCTCTTACTCACTCTCACTGGGTTGAGACAGGAGATGTGGGCTCTGGGGTGGGAATGAGGGATTTGGATGTGGGAAGGAGTGAGAGGTGCAAGCTCTGGGAGGGAATTTGGGTGCAGGAAGAGGTGGAGAAGGGGATGCTGGTTCAGGGAGGGGACTCCAGGCTGAGCAGTGTTGAGATCAGGTGCAGGATTGGGGTGCTGAGTAAGCTGCAGACTTGTGGATGTGGGGTGCAAGAGTAGAGTTTGGATTGGAGTGTGAGCGGGGCTCAGGACAGGGGGGTTCCGAGTATGATGGGCTCACAACAGATTTGCAGTGTGCCATGGTGCAGGGGTGTTGTGGCAGAACGCTGGGAATGTGGGGGTGCAGAAATTTGGGGATGTGAGGGACTCAGGGCAGAGGGTTCCGGTGTATGATGGGCTCAGGGTTGGTGTCTGAGAGAGGTGCAGGAGTGTTATAATGCTGCGGCCAGATGGGGGCTTTTTGGCCAGGTTTCATTTTTAAATAAAATATGTCCAACACAAAACATTTCAGCATTGTCTTTACTTATGGGAGGGGAAAGGAACCCTGTTTTGGGTCAGAAGTCACTGATCCACAGAAAAATCAGTTGGGAACCATGCAAGTGAAATGCAAAAAAAGACCCCTCCAAAATCCTCCAAGCCTCACTGATGTGACCCCCAACTGAGACACCTCACTCCCCTGGTGCTCTAGCCACATGTGGGGGGAGGGTAGGTAGAACTGAAGTTCAAGGCCTCAAGCCAGATTAACTCTTCTGGGGTTCCAGGTTTAGTGGAACTTGTGTGCCCCTCTTCATTCTGAGGTGGGGCCAAAAAGGAGGGATCCAGTGTGCGGGACAGGGCTGCCAGTGAGTGGGATAGGGATAGGGGTGTAGAATCTGGGTGGAAATTAGGGTACAGGAGCAAGCTGTGGGTAGGTGTCTGGCCAGAAGGGAGGGGGCAGGAGCAGGGTGCTGGTGGGTGTCTGGCCAAGAAGCAGGAGCCGTGTGTTTGTGGGTGTCTGGCCAGGAGGTAGGGTCGGGGTGCAGGACAGGGATTTGGCCAGGGTGCATTGCCAGGATGCCACTGGAGCTCTTGTCCATTTCAGAGGAGGAATATGGAACTCCACATGCAGCCTGGGACCAGTGGGAAGTCCCGCTGACTCCAGACTGCACACAGGTAACTGCTTTGAAGTATATGAGAGTCCCCAGTGGAGGCTCTTGTGCATTTCAAAGCCATAGAGCCCGGAGTCAGTGGGGGACTCCCCAGAGGCCAACTGACCCCGGGTTCCGGGGGAATGCCGTGCGGAACCTGGAATCATCTGGGGAGTCCTCAGCTGATCCTGGGCTCCATGGCTGCCCCTTTGAAATGCGGAGGCAGCGTTTCAAAAGGGCAGCTGCCACACAGCTGATCCCCGTCTCAACTGTGCGGCACTGCCATGGCTTTTCCCCGGAACCCAGAGTCAGCTGGGGACTCTCCAGCTAATCCCAGGCTCTGCGCAGCCTTTCCCCAGACCCCGGGCTCCACGCTTCAGCGTTTTAAAAGGGCAGTGCTGCACAGTGACCTGCGGATCAGCTGCCCAGCGGCTGCCCCTTTGAAATGGTGCCTTTGGGTTTCAAAGTGGCAGTGCTGCACAGCTGAGCCCCAGCTCAACTGTGCGGCGCTGCTGCTTTGAACTATCCCTTCCCCCCCCTTTGTTGCCTCTATCTGATAGAGGCAACAAGGGGGGGTGGAATTGACTAGTCAACAGACTATCCGATAAGCAAACGCTTATCAGGCATTAACTAGCGACTAGTCCTTAACATCCTTAGTGCGCAGCCGGGGACTTCCTTTCCCCTGCTGCCAGCCTTCTTTCCTTCCTGCAGCGGGGTTGGGAAGGGGGGAGTCGCAGGCTGTGCGCCAGAGCCAGCATCTCAGGAAATGCGCAGGCTGCTCCTCCCCTCCCCCAAACAACCATCACGCTTCCTGAAAAGTTGGATCTGGCACGCAGCTGGGGACGTCTTTCCCTGTGCTTCCTGTCTTCCCCATCCCCCCACACAGGAAGAGTGTTCCTGTAGCCTGGGACTTCCTCTCTCTCCCCCTCTTCCCCTCCCTCCCCCCCGCCACTGGCACAGGAAGGAAGGAAGTCTCCAGCTGTGCACCAAACCCAGCTTTTCAGGAAAAGCACCAGCTGTTTGGGGGAGGGGAGCGGTGGGGATGCTTCCTGAGATGCTGGCTCTGGCACAGAGCTGTGGGACTTCTCCCCCTATGCCACAGGAATCTGGCGCTACCTCCATTTTCTCAGCAGGTAGTGCCAGTGCGGGCTGCTTCATGGGAGTGGTGGGTAAGTGGCGGGGCTGGAACACCTCACAATAGACTGGTCATGCCCCCAAAATTGACCAGTCAATCGTGATCGACAGGTTGGTGACCACGGAACTAGTATATAAAGATCAATTTTATCCTTAATTATTGAATTTGTCTTATAAATTTGAAAGATGATTATACTTGTGGTTCCTTAACACAGATCAGTCTTTCCAAATGTGAAGGGTATAAAATATTAATATAATTGAATATTTAAATCTGTCTGAACTATTAATTTATGAAGAAAGCTTACTGTCTAGCTTCCGATTTTTTTCACATTAAGCTGCTTAATACTCATGGATGTTTATTTTCATGGTCCTATTTATGAGCAGATAGCTCTCCATAGAATCTATTGCTTATCCATTGGCAGACTAGTCTAGGAAACAATACCTATTACAATGTTACTGCCTAGTAAATCTTATCCTGTCAGCTATACTACTATATTATTTATGAAACCACTAGAGAATTTATTCAGAGTTTCTCAGATCCTTAACTGAAACAATTTTTGTTTATTTAAATCATTGTTCTGAGGTGGAGCTGGGGATGAGGGATTCAGTATGCAGGCTGCCCTGAGCAAAGAGGTCAACCCCAGCCCTCTGTCACTGCAGCAGCTTATGGCCAGGTGAGAAGCACCTATCCATAGCTGCAGCAGTGAGTGGAAGGATGTATGTCCCTCAGCTGGGGGATGGACAGACACGTGGACAGATGGACGCAGAAATATATAGTAGATTACTGTCCCTTATTCCATCCCTGCAATGGGGTTATAGCTGTCCCAGTCTCCATCTCCGGCTCCTTATAAAGTATAACTGTCCCTGCTATCAGACCCTTCTTTTTCCATTTTATGAGAAACTGTCTTATTCCAAGTACATTCCATTGTCCTGGCACAACCAGACTCTTGCTTCCTTTTAAGTTACAAGAGGAAATTGCATACTAAATTTGGTGGTCCTACCTCTTAATGGTTGAGGAGGAATTCTTGAACAGACTGACTCATGAATAGACGGACATGTAGATATACAGTAGATTACTAAATTGCTTGTAGAAAGATAGTATCTTGAAGAGAAGCAAGGAAGTAACATATGGAGAACAGTGTTGATTCTTTATGACCAATTTGACACTAAACTAGTCTAGCACTCAATCTTTTGTCATCCAGTTTAATACAAACTTGCTTTTATAGCTCAACCACTGATATGTATCACTTATCTGTAAGTGTCAATCACTTATCTGTATTATAAAGGACATAGTTAGCCAAATCCTGAGTCTGTTGCTCTTCTGGGAATATTTATGTTTAAAGAGTTTAATAGTGTCACAGTCATGGATATTAAGTTACCGAAGTACAAAAGCGTGAGAATTAGAAAATACATAAAGCCTACATGTTTGTGTACATTATCCCATTTCAGGGTGTCTACAAATAAAATAATTACTCAGATGTGGTGGTAGCTCCAGTATCAGATTGAACAGTAGGAAGGAATGATAACTTTGGGACCAAGTGAGAAGCCAGTATTTTAGAAAGGATTTTAGATGTTAATCTAAAATTGAACCATATCAGTCTAACAGGTTTCAGAAACAAATTAGATACATTCATGGAGGGGAGGGTCCATCAATGCTTATTAGCCAGAATGGGTAGGAATGGTATCCCTAGCCTCTGTTTGTCAGAGGCTGGGAATGGGTGACAGGTGGAATCACTTGATGATTACCTTCTGGGGGTACCTTGCATTGGTCACTGTTGGCAGACAGGCTACTGGGCTAGATGGACCTTTGGTCTGACCCAGTATGTCCATGCTTATGTTTTCTTACTAACTTTCCCCAAGGTGGAAGAGAATTCAGTTTTGGCAGTATTTTAAGTGATTAGAGCAATCAGTGCATGGACAAAAAGGGTGCAAATATGAGTATTCTAAATTCAAACTATTCATCATTGGCGAACAGGTTGATTTGTTTTTTCTTGTTCTCCCTTTACCTCTGATTTTTTTTTTTAGCCTCTCATTTATGGCACCTGGCATCAGCTGTTAACTTTGAAACCAATTTGCTGTCACTGTGCAAGACAGTATGTACACCTGTCTTCATAATTCTCTCTAAATCACAGGTGGGCAATAAGTAGCTTTCAATCTGGATGCAGTTTGCCAGGGTTAGCCCCTGGCAGGCCACCAGATGCTTTATTTACCTGCACGTCTGCAGATACGGCTGCTGGGTTGGGTGCAGTTTGCCATCCCTGGCCAATGGAAGTTGCGGGAAGTGTTAGGCTGGCCCTTGCTGCTTCCTGCAGCTCCCATTGGCCAGGAATGGTGACTGACAATCAATGGGAGCTGTGAGTAGCTGTACTGTTGATGCACAAGTAAAGTGTCTGGTAGCGCACCAGAAGCTAACTTTGGCAAACTGCATCCAGCCTGCAGACTTCTTATTGCCCACCCCTGCTTTAATCAGTACTTCTATTCTGTGAAATATGACTTATTAAATGTCACATTTATCACTGACAACATATTTGCAGCATCTTCAGGAAATAAAAAACATAGTGGGAAAATGGAGCAAACACCCGCAAAACTTGAATAAAAGTACAAAAATCAGTAAATTAACTTTTAAGTTCAAGATTGAAATCAACAGAATGCATTTATATAGCAGTTTGGTAACAGTCATCTTGTCTGCTCATAACATAGCTTGAAGAACAGGGCTAATTGTTGAAAGTGAGAGCTAATATTTTCTTTGTACCAGTTTATTTGATAAGATTCTTTCATCATCTGAATTTGTCAGTGGATTCTGTTCATAAAGAATTCATATTGATAGCAATTTTGGCCAAGAAAACTAATTATCCAGAAATTTGAATCTTTAAGGACTTTTAGGATTTTGTACATTAATGAAGTAACAGTATTGCCCATGTAGGAAAAATCACTTTAGAGAAGAAATTTAAAATCTTATAATATCTTACATATTGTCTTTGTTTATGCGTTACATTGAAAAAAGCTCAAAGCAGTTAGATCTTGTTTTTCGTATTGTATGATTAGCCAGCATTTCAGTTTGCTGCATTGGCTGTTTCACTGTTAATGCACGATAAAGTAACAAATAAAGGTATTCTATTTAGTTTTCTATTTTACCTACCTCAAACCCCCATCAAGCCTCTTCCCATTAATTATATACACACATTTTAAAAATATTATATTATTTGTATTATCTTTACAGCTAGAAATTGTAGAGTTTATTTTATGATTTTTTTTTATAATTTTTCTGAAAACTGGCAATTGAATTGTAGAGTAAGTAGGTTTCCCTGAAGCTGTTGTTTTTAACCTTTGTAGATGGTCTTTCTTCTGCTGATCCCAGCTCTGATTGGAATGCGCCATCAGAAGAGTGGGGAAACTGGGTAGATGAAGAAAAGGTTGCATCTATTCCACAGCCTGAGGAACCATTATCTGATGTTCAGAAGGTAGATAAGCTAAGTTATTGCCTACTTATACTATACTTTACTACTACTTTATTTTTGTAGTGCTTGATAGCAATAAACAGTGTCATTCCCACTTTACATTGACCTTTCATTGAACATAGATAGAGGTGCCATTATTATTACAAATGTAAAAGCACAGTTGTCAAAAAGATGAGCTGCAGATGGAGAACCACTGCTCCAGTGTATAAAGGTAGAGCCAATGCTGTGATAAGTTATATTAAAGATAGTTTGAAAAAATGTCATCCACCTACAACTGTATGGGAGGGATGCATAGGAAAAATGGAAGCACTGAGAAAATGTTCAAGGAATTGCTGTCCCATACCAATCTTAATTTGGGCAATCAAGAGTGAACCTCTCCATTACTGAAAACGTTATTACATCCTAAGGGCTATACAAGTAGTATTGAATGTAATGCACATAACACATTGTGGGAGACACATGTGGCCCACAACAATAAATAGGTTGAGAACCATTGCACTAGAGTAATGTATGCAGGGAGGGATAGAAATAAAGCTCTTACTGTAGACTAAAAATTTCAAAGTATTATGTTGGTATTGAGAGCAAAGCTTATAGTGCCTACCATAACTATGATATTTTAATTGTACAGAGCGGGTGGATGTCATGATCTTGGTCATTTGCTCTTTAAGTTGGTGTCTACTGCATTTGCTAAATACTATGAAAATGATGTCTTCTTTTACCAAAATATTCTTAATTTTACCAGTTAAATCTATCTAGCTGTTTGCAGCTTTAAAAATTTAAATATAAACATTACAAATAATTGACATGTGAACTGTCTTAGAAAGTCAGCAAAAAGCATTAAGAAACTTTCTTTGGACTCACTCTTGTACTTAAAATACTCAGGCTTCAGATGAGGAGAGAGAAAAAGTAGAGCCAACTCTCCAGAGCTGTACTAGTGGCAAATCCAAGAAGAAGAAGAAAAAGAAAAAGAAGCAGGGTGAAGAAGCTGGCTCGCCTGCACAGGTAAAATAAAAGAACATGTATTACTGATCTATCAGGGGCAAAATCCTTGATAATTTTTGACAAGCAGCAACAGAAGAATTTAAGAGTACTGAAAATATCAAGCACACATTTCAAAATTAAACATGGGTCTTCAAATACTTGACTGCTATAAAACCATCAATGCCAATTATAAATAGCTGCCAGACTTTCTCGGTGAATATATTTTTGAATTATCAGTTTATTTCAACAGCATATATTTTAATTTCAGAAAAGTTATGAAACACATGGGAAAGGTAGGTCTTCTTGACAAACTAGTTTTGCTTATCCTGGACTATTTATCATCCTCAGTAAAATAAGGTTTTTGATTTTCACTAAGGGTGCATCTAATGGGTGCACCATTGTTTTCTTCTGCATTGGGAGGCCTGTCTTTTTAGAAGAGACTGCTTTGATATTGTATAAATAGCAGAATGACTCAGACTTTAAGGCCAAAAGGGACCATTGTAATACTCTAGTTTGACTTCCTTAATATTACAGGTCACAGAATCCTATGTACCCATTCCTGTAATAAAACCACAATCTCTGGAGGAGTTAATGAAGTCTTTGAAGCTTGATTTAAAGATTTTAAGTTACACATAATCCACAATTTACTCTAGTTCAAACAATAACAGACCAAAACCCCATGTTGCAAAGGAAAGCAGGGTCTTTGCCAATCTTCCTGAACCCAAACATGGTAATCAGACAGTGAGGCTATGTCTACACTGAGGTTTTTCCACAATACTGGCAGTATCCT